GGAGGCTTCTGGTTTGGGGCTGAGGGTGGGAGGGGATGTGGGACCTGGGGGTGGGGTGGGTCTGGGCAGGATGGAGTCCAGCAGGCCTTGCTGTTCAGCCACTGGGTCCTGGCACTGGCTCCCCCTGGGTCCTGCTGCCACTGGCTACCTGTCATCTTTGATAGGCAGCCAGGGGCAGATAAAAATTAATTTTCTATTTTTTTAGGGGCCCCGCAGGCCAGATAAAATGGTTTGGCAAACCAAATCCAGCCCATGGGCTGTATTTTTCCCATCCCTGTGATAGAAGATCTGTAATAAATTTGCTTTGAACCTTAAAAAGGTAGGACACAGCTGAGGAGAGGAAACAAACAAGTTATTTGTATTCACTTCTCTTTTAATGCTTTGAAGCCTTGGAAAAAGAAGATAAACCTGCCCAGACATCTTGTAATTTACTGTGTCTGTTACTCAGCAAATTATCATACTACAGATCACTTGAAGTATGGCCGTCTAATATTTTCACACCCAGCTTCTATTTAATAGCCTATCATACAGGTTATGCTGGCCTAGGGTTTACCCTTTGTAGCTGCCATCTTCCATTATTTACTCAGATGTTCTTTCTGAAGGAGATGTGTTGAGGCCAGCTTTCATTTAGGGAAGCTGTCCCTTTCAGCCTCAGACCCTAGTTTAGTCTTGTAGGTTGTGAGCTGCCTTTCAGGATTCTGCCATTCACTCTAGCTTCCCTTTTTAAAGCACCTTTCTTAAAAAAACTAATTTTAATGGAGTTGAATATGCTCCTCCAAAATTTTATCCAGATGCAGTGATACATTTTCGCTTCCTTTTTAGTGTTTGAACATCATAAAACTCCCATATACCTGGCCAGTTAAGACAAACTGTTTAGCATTGCTGGACTATTTCACAGCAGTGTGAGTATGCCAAAGAATCGGGTCCTTTTGTCTTCATCTGCTGGTTTTTTTTGAATTCCCTCTTGAAGACCAGATTATTTATTAATCTGTAGCACATCCTGTAGGTTTTCTTTCAACCAGATGGACTTATAATGCAGGCTGGATGCAAGGTCACTTGGCCTTGTTAGAATAGCACTAAAGGTGACATTCATAAAAAGATTTGGCAAGTAAATGAGATTTTGCTGGAATTTAGGAGCTTAAGAACAAGACGGCAACTCACATTCATCCTTTATGTATAGGCACACTAGATACATATTTTATAAGGTAAAAATGGACTTGGGTGTCTTAACAATCACCTACTGTTTATGCCCAGAAGCACCACCATCTTGCATGAGTTGAATATCTGTGGAAGGCCTATTTGAGATTCACAGGCATGACCAGAACCAATCTGGCAAGCTTGCTGGACATTGACAGCACCAAGTTCAGGGGACACAATCACTTTAATTTAAAAAATGTGGGTAATGGCTATCTTTTACAAAGTAGTCCAGTAATTACAGCACTTGCCCATAAAGTGCTCAGCCTGAGGCGGTTCAAGCTCCCAGCTGAGTACCCTAATCCCTAGGTTATAGGTATCTTTGTTATCTCCTATTGGAGGTCAGTCATTAGGCAAAAAGGAATGTGGGATGGACAGGTTCAGAAAGAATTAAGGAGCAAGAGCTGACTGTAGCCTAGTGTTATGGTATTGCTTGAGAAAGGAAAGCACTCAGTTCCAGTCTTTGTTTCAAGGACTGTTTATGCATTTTATCTAATGACCATTTCACATTGACCTGTGAAATAGGTCAATAGTCCCAGCAGCAGAGGCTGGAGTCTAGACCCACTGGAAAACAGTAACAGGTACCCATTGGCCTGTTCTGTCTCACTAAGTTGTTATGCAAAACATGGCACAACACCAGCAATCAACTGTATACAAGAGGATGATGACATAGGGACTCAAATGTAGGTGGGATTTCCAGGCTGTGAATTCTCATCTTGCAGTTATCTCAGGACAACAAGGAGGTGCCTAGCTGCCACCCAAGTCTGGGAGGGAGACGAGATCTTACTTACATACCCCACTTCTGCATTTCCAACTGGGTGCTTTAAGCATTCCCCTGCTCAGTGTACTGAGCATTGTGAACCCGTCTCAGGTGTCCAAATCTTTCTATTTAAAGTATGGGATACTTAAATGCCTCATTCAGATTTGTGAAATCCACTCCCAAAGGTGGGCACCTAAGGTTTAGGTGCAGAAATACTCAGTGTCCTGACAGTGGAGTCTCCTTGTGAATCTTGCCCCCAAAAGAGACCTTAAAGATGATTTAAAAGGAGAACCACACTTTTTCTCTGAAGGAGTGTTCTGGAATAGTAAGGGCAACATGACAGAAACCAGAGAAGATGGGGTCAGTCCCACATTCTCCAGTAATCATAAAGAAGTTCCTAAAGAGGTATAAGTTTGAACAACCCTATGGCTCCTCTAATTTGCTTTGGGGTTCATTCCTTGCTTGTCCAGGCTCAGAGAAAGTACATTAAAGTGGCTAAGTGTCACCTTTTGCTTCACTCTAAGAAACATGGCATCTGCAAAAACAGGATTTGCCATTATTACAGAGCTCACATTGTTAATATTGGAGCTTTATAATAGAAGTCTTAATGCAAAACTGAAAAGCCTTTTTGTGTATTGTAAATATCTGTATGTAGATCATAGACTATAATAGGGTTGGAAGGGCCCTCAATTCAAGGCAGGATCATCCCTGACAAAACCATCCCATTCAAATATCTGTTTAACCAGCTCTTAGAAACGTCTAAAGATGAAGGTTCCACAGCCTCTCTGGTTCCAATGCTTAACCCCATAAGTTACCCTTGCTGCAATTTAAGACCATTGATTCTAGTCTTGGCCCCTACAGCAACAGAGAATAGTCTACCTCTATCCGCTTCATAACAGTTCTTCAGCTACTCCAGCTATCAAATCCTCCTTCAGTCTTCATAGTTTCATAGTTGGTAAGGTCGGAAGAGATCTGAGCAGATCATCAAGTCCGACCCCCTGCCATGGACAGGAAAGAATGCTGGGGTCAAACGACCCCGGCTAGGTGATTATCCAGCCTCCTTTTGCAGACCCCCAGGGTAGGAGCGAGCACCACTTCCCTTAGAAGTTGGTTCCAGATCCTAGCTGCCCTGACTGTGCAGTAGTGCCTCCTGATATCTAGCCTGAATCTACTCTCCGTCAACTTATGGTCATTTTTCCTTGTTACTCCCAGTAGTGCTCGGGGAAAAAGGGACTCTCCCATTGCCTGCTGGTCTCCCTTGGCAAGTTTATAGATGGCCACCAGATCCCCCCTCAGCCTTCCCTTGTGGAGGCTGAACAGGTTCAGGTCCCATAGCCTCTCCTCGTAGGGCCTGCCCTGCTGCCCCCTGATCATGCGAGTGGCCCTCCTCTGGACCCTCTCGATGCTGTCCACATCCCTCCTCAAGTGCGGCACCCAGAACTGGATGCAGTACTCCAGCTGCGGCCTGACCAGTGCTGCATAGAGGGGGAAGATCACCTTGGACCTGCTTGAGATGCATCTATGGATGCATGACAAGGTGCGATTAGCCTTCCTGACTGCATACCCACATTGGCGGCCCATGTTCATCTAGGAGTCTATAATGACTCCAAGATCCTTTTCTGTCTGTGTGCTGATGAGAGGGGAGTTCCACAGCCTGCAGGTATTCTGCTGGTTCTTTCTCCCTAGGTGCAGTACTCTGCACTTGTCAGTATTGAATCCCATCTCATTCTCATCTGCCCACCCCTGTAACCTGTCCAGATCCAATTGCAGCCTGTGCCTCCATTCTAGCATGCCTACTTCTCCCCACATCTTAGTGTCATCCGCGAATTTAAACAAGGTGCTTTTCACCCACTTGTCCAAGTTGCTGATGACGATGTTGAACAGTGTGGGCCCAAGGACTGAGCCCTGGGAGACCCCACTGCTTGCATCCCTCCAGGTCGAAAATGACTCGTCCACCACCACTCTCTGGGTGTGGCCTCCAGCCAATTGGCGACCCATCTGACTGTGTAGGCATCGACACCACAGTGTCCTAATTTTTTAACGAGAATGGGGTGAGAGACAGTGTCAAAAGCCTTCCTAAACTTCAGAAAGACTATGTCCACTGCAACACCTGCATTCAGGTTTTGTGACCTGGTCGTAGAAGGCCACCAGGTTGGTCTGAAAGGACCTGCCTCTAATGAACCCATGTTGGTTGCCCCTAAGCATACATTCCCCTCCTTGCCCCTTGCAGATATGCACCTGGATAATTTTCTGAAAGAGCTTCCCCAGGACCGATGTACGACTAACGGGCCTATAATTTTCTGGGTCCTCCTTCCTCCCTTTTTGGAAAATGGGGACAACACTGGCCCTTTTCTAGTCCTCTGGCACATCGCCAGAGCACCATGAGTACTCGTAAAACTGTGCCAGGGGTCCCGCAATGACTTCTGCTAATTCCCTCAGCACTCTGGGGTGGAGATCGTCAGGACCTGCTGATTTGAACACGTCCAGTTCCTCCAGAAGTTCCCTGACTAGGTCCTCTCTGACCCTGGGCCTGGCTGCGCCTCCCCTGGGACCATTGGGGGTCCCAGTTGGGGGGATGACCTGGTCCCTGCTCAGAAAAATGGAGGCAAAGAAATTGTTAAATCTGGTGAGACCACCAGATTTCCAAGCGTGTCCTGCAGAGGCCCCACATTACCCAAAACCTTCTTTTTACCCGTTATGTATTTAAAAAAGAATTTCTTGTTATCATTGATCTAGGTTGCTAGTCCCCATTCCATCTCTGCCTTGGCCTTCCTAACAGTCCCCCTACAATCCCGAGCAATGGAGGTATAGTCCTCCCTGGTATAGTCGTCTTTTCCCCAGACTAAATAACCCTATTTCTTTTGGTCTTTTCTCACAAACCATGTTTCCCAAATCTCCAGTCATTTCTGTTGCCCTCCACTGAACTCTTCTCAATCTGTTGACATCTTTCTTGAAGTACAAGGCCCAAAATTAGAGATAGTATTCCAGGTGAAACCTCATGAGTACCAAACAGAGTGGGAGAATCACTTTCCTTCATTTGCAACTTATTAATATAACCCATGATTCTGTTGGTCTTTTCTGCAATAGAGCATACTATTGGCTCATATTCAACTTACGGTCTACTGTAAGCCCCAGGCCCATTTCTGCAGTACTGTAGCCTGCCCTGTCATTCCTTAGTCTCTGCACGCGACTGTTCCGTCTTAAGTGCAAGACTTCTGACCCTTTCTCCAATTCATCAAATTCATTCTGAATCCTTGCTCTACTCACCAGAGAGCCTTGCAGTTCCACCTAGCTTGGTGTCATCTGCAAATTTGCCAAGCGTGTGTTCAATCCCATGCTACACATCGTAAATAAATATAGGAAATAATACTATCCCTAGAGCAGGCCCTTTGGGAGCCCCACATGGTATCTCCTCCCAACTGAGCCATTGATAACTGTATTTGTTAAGCACAATGATCCTACCAGTGTGTATTTCTTTGTAGCTTGAGGAACCTAGAACTGAAATACTTACAATATGGCTTCTCAGTGGATCAGAAAGTGATCCAGAAAGAATGAAACACTTGCAGGTATTTATCATGTATCTGTGTTGCGCGGTATGTTAGTACTATGCTATGAAGTTATGTGTATGACACTGAGATTAAGTCCTTTGAGACTGAAAGCATGATTATGATAAAGTGTTTATTCTCCAAAAGGGGAAGCTGCCATTTGAATTGGTCCTGGAACACAGTTTTGGGGTGATTAATAGGTCAGCATTAACAGTAGTCTTGGAAAAATTACTTTGAGGTCATTTTGAATAAATTGGAGAGAATTGGACAGAAAAGCACCACCTGCAGATGTCTTGAATAGTCAAAACAATATTACTGGCAAGTCCTTCTCCACCACCAATCAATGCACAAAAGTCAATGCAGTATGATTTCTTTAAAAATAATGGTTTATTGGGACTTTTTTATTAGACTTTTACCTTCAATGCCCTAAGTTCAATATTGATCACCAGCAACATGAAATGGACTTAGTTTAGTGTTTCAAAAATATTTCCATCACCTGTCTATGATGTTAGTCAGCCCATTAAGCTTGCCTCAAGTAGGAGAGGGTTTTTATTTTGTTTGTTTGTTTGGTTGGTTGGTTTAACTGAGCAGTTGGGCATATACAGGTCTAAAATTTCATAGATTTTACAGACATTTGGACTGGAAGGGACCCCGGAGGATCATCAAGTCCAGCCCCCTGCTCCAGGGGCAGGAAGTCAGCAGGGAAGACAGGATCCCAGCAAGATAAGCATCCAAATGTTTTTTGAAGGCGTTCAAAGTGGGTGCTTGAACCGCCTCAGGTGGCAGTCTGTTCCAAACCTTGGGGGCTCAGACAGTAAAGAAGTTCTTTCTTATGTCCAGCCTGAACTGGTCACAGTGGAGTTTGTGACTGTTTGATCTTGTCATCCCTTGGGGGGCTCTGGTGTGTGGCTGCCGGGCTTCGAATATCCGTTCTTGTGTGACCTTCACCCTGGTGGTAAACGTAGGGCATCCTATGGGCTCATGTCGTTGACCAAGCAGCTGTCTCTTCCTTGAGTTGCCTCCCCCGTTCACACCTGCCATGACTTGCTGTTCTTCAGTAGACGGGATTGGTCGTCAGGTTTGCTCGGCAGCCCGTGGTTCACCCGGCAGTCATTCACAGGGCTCCACCACCTCTATACTCTGGCCTCACAGCCCCTTGTGTGAGTCGTCCCTCTGTCGGCCTCGTCCCCTCTTGTGGAGTCGCATCTCACGGCTTGACGTCCGTGTGCTCGTCGCCTGTGGTCAGGTTTGCCCGTGCGGGCCTGCCCCCTCTGCCTTCCCTGCCTCTACCCTTACTTTGGGGAAACACAAAAAACTTCCAAGGTCCTCCCTTGGCCCCATTCCTCAGGGATACTCCCAGTACCTTCTACTCTCCCCCATCACATGGGGCAACCAAACAGAAACACGTCAACAAAACACTAAAGTGATGAGCCACCTCCTGACGTGGCTACGCCCTGTCCCCTTACTATTCTTCCCCTTGCTCTAGCTTGGAGACGCTCTTCTTACTGCCTGTTGCCTCTGGGATTCATTCCCATTCTCCCGTCGACCCGACTGGGGCTGGCAGCGATACCCACCCCGATTGTAACCCCTTTGGGGCTCTCACCAGGGTCTTTTCCCCTGGCGTGGCTCCCTTCTCGCCCTGGTCATCCCAATACTCCCACCTGGGGTCCGTTCGAGCGTTGGCTGCAGCTCTGACTGTCTCCGAGTCTGGAGTGCCTGCCACTCACATGCCTTTCCATCCGTGCTCCCGATGGGGTGCTCTGCCCCACACTGTTTGTCTCTGCCCCCAGCTCATTGGGCTTTGTGGGTCCTGTGGGGAAGATCTTCTCTCCCAGAGGTGGCTGCATCTCCCTTTTCTCGCTGCTCTCTCCTCCTCCTCTCGCCTCAGCGGCATCAGCCGCCATTTTTATCTCCACTGGCCAGTGTTTGGGGCTGAAGTCACCAGCCAGCCTTAATTGGATAAAGAGGCAGCTGACGAGCGGAGTGGGCTCTTCTTTTCACCCCTGCTGTGCTGCGTCTCCTGTTGCCGGTGAGTACTCCTTATTACTTCTTCCCTCTCTTTCCCCAGGACATGGTGAACAGTCGTTCCCCCAGATCCTTATGAGCACACCTGATAAACTTATAGGTGGCCACCAGATCACCCCTGAGCCTGCACTTTTTCAGGCTGAATAGCCCCATTGCTCTCAGCCTGTCATCATAAGGTCTGTTTTCTTGACCTCTGATCATGTGCATGGCTCTCCTCTGCACCCTCTCAAGCTTTTCCACATCCTTTTTGAATTGCGGAGCCCAAAACTGGA